CAACTAACATTCGCTCAACTCTGCTCTCTCTCTATCGTTAATTCTTCCCTCCCTCACATACACTCGGTGCTCCGATTTGAGTTAATGCCTCATACTCTCTGTGGTTATATTCGCTATTTGTCTGTGTACTTTTTGTCCCAAACTTTTGCTTTTAAACATACCTTTGACTTGCTGAACACCCCATAATTTGTCTACTTGCAGACTCCGGCGCTGCCAGCCTGACCTCTACTGAGGGGAACCGAAAACAAACCAATGCGACCAAACGCAATGTGGAAGGCGGCCGCAAAGGAAAATTAATATTTGCCACTGGAGGCGTAAAGCTGACGTCTGGCCGAAAGATTCTCCGCGATACCCGCAGTCGCAGCGTTTGCTCATTCTCCAGTGCAACCTCCGGCCACCCAGGCCAACGTTAAGAGGAGATACAAGCCAAATCAGCTGTTTCGCAGCTAACCAAGCGGAAAAAACATCGTAAACGCAGTGGTTCACAAACCGACGCGCAACCCCTTCCCGCGTTTGTCCAACAGGCAGCGGCGGCTAAATGCATACAGTAACACATTGGCCGCTTGAGAATAGCACTATTTTAACCTTCCGGTAGCTATTGTTTATAAGCTTTTGAATCTACTTTCTCTAGTTTCTGCTTGATAATGTACTTGAAGCAGGATTTTTAGAGAGCATCTTGGTACTCATTGGTCAACTTACCACCCTTGCTGAAGAGTACCGAGTGATTATTGTACTGGCAGTGGACCGTTTCTCTCTCCATGACATTGATTTCCTATCTTTGAGTACTATGACCAGTTGCCACTGCTTGCTTGGGTGTTCTTCTGTAACTGTTTGATTTAGAGGCACGACAACCGTTTGTGGAGGAGAATCTTGAGAGATTATTCGTCTTTTGTGCTAGATGTTGCTCACCATCGTCCTTATGGAGCGGGGCATCAAGCGTGAAATAACAGCTCATATCTGACGTCACGCTGAATCGTTCTCTGCACGCGAAGCTTTTACTTCGACTACGTTGCGTTCCTTGATGAATTCCAGGCTACCGCCCACCTTAATGCTCATTGTCCGCCTACAGCGTATCTAGTTAAACTGCGCTCCAATCTGCTTGGGCTATGATACTGCGAAAAGACACTTAGTGCGACAGATCGAAAGACTTTACTGGGTTTGTGCATTCCGTCGTCCTATATTCCGCCTGCAAGTTTTGCCTCATCGGTTATCAAACAGGAATAAGAATGAAAATTGGTAGCTCAGATTGTTCTGGAAGCAGTCGAACTGTTCGCTGAGCTTGGCACGTTTGTTGCATTCTCCTATTTGCGAAGGCGGTTCTGGGGGATCTGTAATCATCAGTTTGACCATGCGTCTCCCATACTGTATTGCAAGTCTTCAGGAATCCGGATGATTTAGTGCTGATTTGTGATTTGTACTCGCTGGGAGTACGTTCCTTCCCAAGCAGTCACGAAGGAGGTAGAGCTGTTCACTTGTGCATGCTTATCGACTGGCAAAAGTTTCCCAACGACAAATTTGCTGTAGTGTTGTATGCCCGGAGTGAATCATCATTTCACCCGCTTTTGACACAGTTTCCATCGCTACCAGCGTTAAACCACGGATCGCTCACTGCAGCCACTGTGATGAAAACGCTGATGTCATTGCGCGTGCATACCTCACCTGGCGTGGACAACATCAAACCGAAAGCATTGAAGACAGCGGTCATGAACCTTACTGAATCATTAGCTCGGTTCTTTCAGCGTCTCGACGAAATGCAGGTTCCCACAGTGTGGAAACATGGACTAGTCACCTTTATTTACAAAGTGATAATCGTTCGGAGCCCTCGAACTATCGTCCAATTTTTCTTCTCCCAGTTTTATCCAAAGTAATGGAACGTATAATAGCAGAGGCGCTTATGAGATATCTTGAGAGCAACAACATTCTAGTGTCACAGAAACACGGATTCCGCCGACATCGATCCTGCACTACAAACTTGCTGCTAGCCCCAGCAAGCTGGACAGAGTCAGCCGATGCCAGAGTGGGAGTCGACGTTGTTTAACTGGACTTCTCGAAAGCGTTCTATCGTTTAGACTACCGCATTCTACTTCACAAACTCTAAAGCTATGGAAATGGTGACCCTATATTTGGTTGGATCGGCAACTTCCTCGCTCAACGTCAGCTGAATGTGAGAGTCCGCAGCTCCATTTCCGACCCAATTGACGTCGTGTGGCGTGCCCCAAGGATCGGTACTGGGGCCAAGTTTATTCCTAACATTGGTTATCGGTCATACCAGTGTACTGCAGTCGAATTTCTTACTACTTGCAGATGATGTCAAAATCTGGCATGATAGCAAGACATCGGATGATCACATAGCATTGCAGAGCGATCTCGACAGGGCTTATGCGTGGTCATCCGACAACCGGCTCCAGTTCAACGTGGCGAAGTGCAAAGTCGTAAGCATACTCCATCAGCTTATCTATGAATATCGACTTGGGGACCATCAGTTACGACGTGCTTCCCAAGACAATGACCTCCGGGTGATGGTGCAGTAGGACGTTGGTTGCTCGAGACAGGCTGAAAAGGCATCCAAAAGAGCCAGTCAACATCTTGGACTCTTACGAAGGGCTTTCGGGAATTTTGAGCCATCAATCTTTTCGCAAATGCTGAATGCCCTCGTGGGCCTCACGAGGAATATGCGATCAAGGTATGGCGTCCATGGCGCAACCCCGACGTTGATGCACTTGAAGCTCGGCCACGTAGAACGACCAAACTCTTTAGAGGATTGTTTCATCTCTCCTACGAACGCAGGCTGCAGTCCCTGAGATTGTACAGTGGTAAATATCGACGTCAACGTGGATACCTACTCATGGCTTAGTTAATATTGTTGTACCCTACTCACCCATATCGCAATCTGCTGCAGCTGAGCCAAAATGACAACCTGAGAGGTCACCAGCTCAAATTGGCTACGCACTACATTCGACTTGATTGTCGACGCAGCGCTTTCTCCCTCCGTGTGTCCCGTGCCTGGAATGCCCTTCCGACTCACGTTATCCTTGCCCATACATTAATGCTATTCAAAATTCCCTTTGATGAAACGCTTTCTAACTTGCATTAGTTGATCTAATCCATTCCACTTTGACGACGAAATAACGTAAACCTAACCATGGGATTAACGGCCATCTGTGAAGTCGAGGTGAGGATACATGCAGAAGTGTCTGTGTGAGTATCCTCAAGGTATCTAAACTGGATTAACATACCACATCTGTCAGACAATGCAATACACGAGTGAGCGTTGTCGTTTCCTTTTTTCTTTCTCACGCATTTACTGATCTATAACAGCTCTCTAAACTGTTTTGTGTGTGCACATCCCAATCCCACTTCAAACCATCATTATGCAGTAGTGCATTTAAATCGGTATGCTCTTAAAATAACGATTTCCTTATTCGATGATCTTTCAAATGTTAGTTTCTACTGCAACCATCCTACGGGGCTTGTCAAGCACATGCTTTTTACCATGGATAAACCATTGTTCATTGAATAAGAGCAAAAGTTGTTAATTCGGGTTGTTCTGGTAACAGTCGAACTGTTCGCTAAGCTTAGGAAGTTTGTTGCAACCGAATTGCCAATCTCAGCGAACAGTTCGACTTCATGTGGTAACTTGCTACACTTATGTATCTGGATCTTTTATCTTCTCTCTCTCTCTCTCTCTCCTCAATTTGAGCTCTCCGTCATCATCCCACTCTGCGCATAACCGTTTACAGCTGTATCCTAGCGATGCATCGGCACCAGGTACTGTTGTACTCTTGGCAATTTAAACTCCAATTCCCTCTTGACTGTTTGCGATTATTATCTCTGTTATTGTTGCACTGTCCCGGAACCAATTGTATTTTTGAGCACTTGTTCTCATGCAATGTTTATTTCAAACAAACAACACTATATTATCAGTCTAAAGCCCATTGTTATCGATGACTTATTGCCAACGTTCAGGCAAGCTATCATAGAAAGCGCTGGGCGGGCTGTCAAAGTACTAGGCAGCGTACTTTCGACGCTGTTGTGGTTACCCAATCTCTTGTCCTTGTTTTAATTTTGCAACGAGCGGAAAACGTGGTAGTCAGTAGGAGCAAGGTCTGGGCTATGTGCTGGATGCATAAGTGCCTCGATACCGAGCTACTCAATTTTGAGACGCATTATCCTTGCCACATGATGACATGCGTTGTCATGCAGAAGAAGGATTCGAGTCGCTCTTGGATGCTTTTTTCGATGTTCGTCGACCATATTTTGCGGTTGTTGACAACAGACATAGAAAGTAACCGTGGAATAATCGGGTAGCAGTTCAGATCGACAGCATTGTCTTTTTGCCGTACAATTCACCCTTCGGGATTTGTACTGGCGTTTCATCTGCTGCGATCCACTGGCACTTCCTTCTATGAATGACATGGAGAACCCCTTTTCATCTACAGTAACGAGATCGTTCAGCTATCAACGGTAACGTCCATGGGTGAGCAATGCACTTGCGATGTCGCAAGAGTTCACAAGTTACTGCTCTGTCAATTCGTGTGGTACTAGTAGGACCATTTCGGATTGGGGCTAATGGCGGTGAACGGCGGTTTTTGGAAGGTCAAGGCGTGTGGAAACTTCACGCACACTTTGTACCGTATCCTCCTTTATAGCGTCCTGGATACTGCTGACAAACTTCTCTGGCTTACCTCCATAACGTCCGAGGTTTGACAGTTCGTAATTCCCTACTTTGAATCGACGAAACCAAAATTGCACCATACCGTAACTGGGAGCATCCGTGCCTAATACGTCACTCATGTTTGGACAAGCCTCGACCGCTTTGCGCACTTGCAAGAATTCGTAAAACACGTATTCGCGAACAGCATGTTGACTATTTGCTAATACCGAAGCCATTCCGAAACTGTAGGATAACTGGACAATGAGGATTATTTTTTTATCATTTCTTCGAGTCACTTCTAGATGGTGTCGAAAAAATTCATTCGATTTTGGAACGACCCAATATTATGACCACGGGGACCATGGCTATTGAATCCTTCCGGCATTATAATTTTTTGACAACCGAACAGCATGAAACCCACCCAAGCAGCCCATCTTGCCTCTCTACGACTAGATCCACCCTGCGTCGTGTAGTCATGCTTAACAGGTCAGCTAAGGTGTGTTCCTATTTTCCACTGATTGTGTTTGATGTGTCTTTAGCTTGTTTACCGAATCACTCTCCTTGTCTATCGTTTTCTTCCCGTTTTACTTTATTTAGCATTTTGACAGAAGACTCCTCCATACTCGCAAAGAAACTTCTAAAGGTTGGTAATTTTCTTCCTGCTCTGCTTCTATTCAAACCAGTGTATTTGTGCAGCACTTGATACCATGTGGTTTCATGGGTATTGTTCTGTCAACCCACAGCGAGGAAAACAGATCGATGAATACTTTGTTGACCTGGCTATCAGACTCCACGGGCTCCCCGCTTGTCACAGTGCACTGCGACGATCATGAGACGCCGCAAATGCCCACTTTCCGAAATTCTTGGTCCCATTAATTGAAATGACGGAAGTCTACAAATGGTGTCTCACAAAGGGCACTTTAAACCCAGCATTAAAAATGGTCACCCTAGTGTTTAGTTGCTTAATCCAGTACGAGTTTCATTAACCACGTGGTTTAGAGTTCTTTTGCGTTCACACTTTGGCCTTAAATTGTCTCTTTTAAGCAAGCAATCACACTTTTCCTTTGTAGTAGATTTTTCGCTCTCCTAATTGGCCGCACAGCGTATTTGTGACCGTCACTGATTCAGTATTGTTAATCGAATGGGAACCTGTTGAGCATCTTCGTGTCTCCGACAGAGTAAGGGTCTACGGCAAGCTTTCTTCATCTTTCGCTATCAGTATCGGTGTGCGACTAGGTTGCCCAATATTCCCTTTCTTCTTCAATTTCACAATCGAAGACTTTCTGTCGATAGCTCTAGAAAACTTCCAAAATTTTGGCTTAGATCATCTGCTGAGTACGCGCTCGACCGACTTAGGTGATGCTGTGATATCGCCTTACTTGGCAAGGATCCATAAAATATACTACATCGTTTGGCTGTTGAAGCATCTAAATGTGGCATGAGCTTCGCACCTTCGAAGTGTAAAGTATTGATCTAGGACTGACGCACACCTGCTCTCGTGCTCACCCTTGATCGTGCACGGCCAGAACTGTTATATAGTTTCATCCACATCAGGAGCTGTGTTTCTGTTGGAGACGCTATCAGCAAAGAACTTTCTCTTCGCATCACCAAAACCGGATCGGCAATTTTTAATCTGCATCACTTTTGGCCTCGTCGGGACGTCTCCATCTCTGTAAAGGGCCGCAGTTACAGTGCCTCTGTTCGTTAACTGTTGTTGTATAAGAACGAGTCGCGTCAAATTCACGTGGTGGGCATGCGCCGTCTTTCCGCTTTCAACAACGGTAGTTTCAGGAGTGTCGCTCATGTGTGGTGGTAACACCGTGTTCACAGTGATCTCATTAGACGCCGCGTCCTGGGGAATGCGAGTATTCCCTTCGACATGCTAGTTTTTTTGCGCTAGTTATGAGGTAAACCCCCTATACAGGGAAACTTGTTCTTGGATTGATCGGGTATTCCCTTATTCATTGACAGCCGCGTGTGGGCCGCGGTGTTCCATAGGGACCAGTGTTGGGACCGCGCTTATTCTCGGTTTTCATCCGCGTTCTCGCGCGGGTTTCATCCAGTCGAATATCTTGCCTTCTGCCGATGACATCAAGATATGGCGGGGATCGGTACTCAGAACGATCACAACCTGCTGCAACGAGACTTAGACCGTACTTTTGAATGGCAATCAACTTCCGGACAAGTGCAAGACTGTACATGTACGCCACAAGCCCACTAACGCATATAAACATGAAGACCACCTCCTCACAGTAGCGCGACCTTGTGTGGTGCTGATGCAAGACGATCTCGGATGTTCGGCGCAGTCATTGAGGGTATCTAAAAACCACTGGCCAACCTGCTGGTCCCTACGGTGAGTGCTCGGGAGGTTTGATCTCTCAATCTTCACTCAAATGTTCAGCGTATATGTGACATCCCATGTAGAGTACGCGATCCAGGCCTGACAATACTAATTAGAACCTGATTTGGTTGCACGGGAGACCGCACAGCGAATGGCAATGAAAAATGTAAATGGATTGCTTCATCGGCCATACCAACCTCGACTGAATGCCCTGAGAGTGTGCAGCAGAATGTATTGCAGTCTACGGGATGACATCATTTTGACCTATTTTGAAAACCCCAGTCTTGTTTCCCCCATTTCAAATTTAGTCGCGGCGAAGTCATTGCCGTCTAAGAGGTGACCACATTCTGGCGTGTCAGATCTTGAAATCCTCGGTCATGCTTGACGCCACCTCCAGTAACTAATCTGCAGTACAAAATTGAAGGGTTACAAGCTGAAACTAGCCACCAATACAATCGGCTGTAATGCGGCCGGAAATATTTTTCTCTTAGAATTTGTCGGCTCCAGAATACTCTTAGGACTTCTGTCGTTTCTGCGCCCATGCTACCCATTTTAAAATTACGACTCTGCGATGCTTTACACCACCTATATTACCTGATTTGATTTCTGTTCATTGATTGACGACATGACGCAGTCATTATGCTCAATAACCCCACGAAATCTGGGGGGGGGGGCGGATCTAAGCTTGTGTTAATGTGTGTAATTTGGTGACCCCACAGATGCACATTGCACCTTGTGATCACATTTTTTGAACTTATGTGTTTCAACCAGAACATCCAAGTAACATTTCGAGCCTTAGCATTTTTGCCCATATTAAACCATCGTTCTATTACTGCATAAAGCTCGATTGCCCATCCTAGGGTGTTTAGTTCGGAATTATCTGTGATGCGGTTGCTTATGATACAGGGCAGTGAAAGTCCCAACATTTGGACATCCCATATCTTTGTCTGTTCGTTTACTAGGTTAAATGTCTTACCCTGGTTCTCCGTCACTCTCCATTTTTATTCTTCATCAGGGGAGTCGTTCCGCACAATTTATGGTAGCATGGCTGCGAGGTATCAGCGCATGGTAGTGATTTATTATCCTTACTGATACGGTAGGATTCTTATTCATTTTGCGCTATGTACTGTCATTCCACATTATCGTCAGCGCGTATCATCGCAACCGCAGTCATTTTTCGAGGGACGGTGGCTGATCGAATGGCGTGCTTATCCCACATAGTGTGTGTACCTACATCCAAACGTCCTAGTAACTTTTCCCCTCTTAAGCTACACTCAAATGTTTATGTTTGCTAGGTGACCGTAAACACCTACCATACGGCAGCTATAAAGTGTTTGTTTTCCTCATTTTGCTCTGCTAATTGATGTTCTTGTCATGTCCCAATCCCTTGTTCTACATTCCATACAATATTGTCAAAGTCCACTTTTCTATCCATGTGCAGTGTCTATTATCATTTGGTTTGACCAACTTGCTGACCATGCTGGAAAGTAGTAGATGGATTTTTGGTGTGTTTTACGTGGGTTCGTCGCATCCAGACTCCGTTCACTCGTCGCTGCACATCCAAACAAGTGTTGGACGGCCTTTCGCTCTCTTGGAGCTTGCCAGTGGCACGCGTTCACTGAATCTTGCTGTGATCGAACCCGTGAATCAGTGCACTTGGCCGGTGGTAATTGCTATGACCGATTATCAACTGCGATGTGGCCCAGCTCATTATGCACTGCAATGTGCTCTGTTATCGTGCAAAGGACAAGGTCGTTCCCCCTGAGTCACGTCTTCCTTCATGCTCAGCTGGCCCTGGTCTCGGCGGACACACACCTACTTGTTATTTTACACGCTGTCGCTGTTAACGTCTACACGTGCGGAAGTAACGCTAGCCTGCAAACGCAATAATGGCTCGTAGCCGAACTACACAAAGACAACTGAGCAGGATTAGATGCCAGCGCGCAAATGTGTACTCTAGCCAAAACGGGTACAGAGCATCGATCAAGTAACTGAAGCCAAGCCACTTGTGAGTGTGTAATCGATAGACAGACAGACGCACACGGTCGATGCGGGTATGAACACGGATTGGAGATGATGACTCATCCACCACAGTCGCCAACCCACAATTTGTTGAAAGACGTCCACTGTCCTCAGACCCGTCAGACTGCATTTCTTTACTGCCGAATGTGCCGGTGTACTATTTGTCAGAAACTGTTTATTACTGACGAAATGTTGGGTGCTTTGAAGAACTTCACAAAGGTCTGTCACGGTTATGTCCAGTCATACACACATCACCGAACGATTATTTTGTTTCCAATGCACACCCTTCCATTGGGTTATCTTACTTTGTGACACCCATTAAAAGTTTTCACCTTCAGCGGTTAGTGTCAGTGTGACTGCAAATAGCCACCTTTGGCCTATACAGAGCACCAGCAGCACCAGCACACACTGCATACGTAATGGAAATATGAAGCAGTGGAGCAGCTGATAGGGACCACGATTGATTCAAAGTCGACCCACGCTCCTGTTGCCGCGCACCATTGAGGTGAAGCTAGGTGAACACGGGCGGACCGGAGCCCCCTACGTTCTAGCGCCTTCCTTTTGTTCTGAGCCGTCTCACTAGAAGGTGGTACCTTGTCTCCTTCGGAATGAATAGCAGCTTTCTGAGCTCATTCGCATATCACACGAATGGCCACTTTGTGCATGCTCTCTTCAAGTGCTACCAGATTTATTCAATCACTCAGAGTTGAATACTCAACACACCTCAGTCGTCGTTCATGCGCAGGCAGGCTGAAGTGACAGAGCGTCATGGGTACTCGGTACTTTCGCTTGATGTCATATTAGAGAGCAGTTGTGGGATACGCCAATATATTTTAGATAGTGCATCTCTTTGAACCTTCAGTTACACTCACATAGTGATTCATTGAATCCTTACACGTTTCAGATCACCTGTTAATTTTCATCTGGATTTGACTTTTTACACATTCTGTATACAATATTAGGCTGGACCTTAACGTGGTGAGATAGTTAAAATACTTTAATACCTCACTGAGCTATGCTGTGTAGTGGTTTTGTACCTTCAGATCCACTCTTACCAGATTGGTCAATGATTAACGGCCAAACAAACTCAGTTTCCTGGCCTTCCAATTTTGGGGGGTTGGAGTGAGGGTGGCTGTTTACTCTATAAAATCCCGCTGCCATGAGGTCGTTTTACACTAAAGGTTTGGATTGATAACTTTAAGCAACCTGACGACATTCTGGCCTTTTCCTCAAATAATTTCTTGGTGCTCTGTCCGTCCAAAGGTATAATCAACCGTGCCCTATCTGCTGCATTGATCAGAGTGGATAGGGGTTTGGATGCTGCTTCCGCTCAGGCCTTCCCGTCTTCTTCTTACGCTTTTTCACGCTTATCGTCCCGTTCCATCTTTTCTCTCCACATCTGGCTTTCGTAGTTGTTTATCTTATTTACAGTAAAAACCTTAACACCAAAGCCCCGCACGATTTAATTTCGGATAAATTTCTCTGCATATTCTCAAGTGCGTACTACGGAACACGTGAAAATTAATAGCATCATGAGGAGTTAAGAAAGTTGAAATAGCAAATTCACCAACATACGTACAACCACACACATGCGCGCACACACGTCTTTGTCAATTCATCAGCTGGCTTACTACCAGGATAGAGCCAGTGTGACGAAGGCGTCCTTCTGCACACCCAGACTAGGTTCAAGCTGTTTGATTGCGACTGCCCCAGCGTATCGCAGCACATGAGTGTTGTTTGGTGCGTAGATCACACTGCACTTACGCGTGGGGTCAACACAATGTTTGTCGGTCAGGTGATGTCGGGCGATGGATGACACAGGCGTCTTAAAAGGTTGACCACTTGCATTCCTTGGCTGCACAGGTTGGGTGATGGACGGGGCTAGGATCGAAATGTGATGCTTGACCCATGTTAGGATATGCTCTGCGATTCTCACCCGCAACTGGCGCTCTCTCATGCCTATGTAAGTGGCCTTGCAATTACGTGTACATTTGTGGACCTGTGAATGGCTGGACAGAGGTAGCTGCGGTTTAACCGATGGTGTGGGAATGCGCGTCGTTGTGTATGCCAGTACGGGTTGCGTCGCGGGATACACTCGTGCAACCGCGGATTTCAAACGCCGTTGAAATATTTGGCCTACATCATCTTTACACGGTTGCTTCAGTGTAACTTTAAGCTTTGGCACTGTGTGCACCTTCTCTTCTCACTGAAGTGAGCGATAAAAGAATTTGAATACCCGTTTTCTTCTAGGGTGTTAGTGAGGAATCCCACCTCTGCATCTAGCGTATCTGGCGTGCAGATGTTTCTCACTATGTCAAACAGGGTCTGCACCAATCCCTGCTTGTAGCGTTTGGGTACAAAACTATGGAAGTTCAGATACTAACCCTTCCACGTCGGCGTACGGTATACCGATTTACGTACCGATCCATCAGTTCTGCGTTCGATCAGTACGTCAAGAAACGGCATGCTATCATGCTGCTCTCGCTCTATTGTCACCCTGATGTTTTGATGCAGGTCATTTAATCTGGTGTTCATTTGCGTTAGTTGTTCCTCTTGATCACAAATTATCAATATATCGTCCATGTATCGGCGAAATAGCACCGATTGTTGCATTTCGTCCTTGACTTGATTTTCAAGGTGAGCAATGAAAATACCCGCTAAAAGCGGTCCGTGTGGACTACCCATTGCAACACCATCCACCTGCCGAAACCCTTGGTTTCGAAAATCGAAATTCACTTTCGATGTACTTAGCAGCAGGAGCCGTTCTATTTCGGACACTGGAATACCCAGTTCTAATTGGCTCTCAGTCACGTGGTTACATATGACCTGGATAGTCTCTTTCGGTGGCATGTTGGTGAATAATGAGACTATCTCGATCTTAACCATAGACTTTCCACTTAGTTGGACACCATGCAACAGTTCCACTAGTTCAAACGTATCCTTTAAACTGTGCTTAACCATTGACTTCTTAACTGATTCCAGTACTGTCTAGCCATTTAGCCAGCTTGTATTGCGGCGAATTGCTCATGGATAAGATTGGCCTTAATGGGACATCCACCTTGTGTAATTTTGGCAGCCCATAAAGCTGAGGTGTCTGTGTGCCTCTAGGTCTTAAGGATTTTGCGGTTGCAGCGGTAATGAAGTTTCCTTCTAACAAAGTCTGCAATTCCGTGTTTATGCTTCTCTCTAGTTCAGCCGGTTTGTCAGAGCTATCGTCGGGTTCCAACTTTATGTGGTTACTAAGTATCGTCATCATCTCCACATAGGTGGATTTGTCTAACGCCACAGCGCCCGATCCCTTGTCTGGGTGAAGGATAACTCCGTTTCCTTCTGATCTGAACTGCTTTAAGGCATCTAAGTGCTTGGACTCTCCAGAAGGGATTTTTGTCTGGAGGTTGTAATTCGATATTGATGTTCTAGATCAACGAGTTTTGTTTTCACTCACTGCTCGTTATCCCTGGATGTTGGTGTGGGTCCATCAAGTGGTCTATAGAATACCTCGAGCTGCGCATGGGTTTCTATCTTGTTAATGCTCTGCGGGGAACACAAATTTTAGACCACATGACAGTACCTTAAGTTGCAGCTGAGTTAATTGGATACACGGGTTAGTTATATATCTCGATGGATCAAAAGTAAAATAGACCCAAAAGTTTGTGGTTAAATTTCCTTCCAAAACGCTCGGTCCAGATTTTTCTAGTTTCACGCATAATATCACGGTAGAAGTGTATAAACTTGAGGTAACATACCAAGTTTAATTTGTGCATTTCCTGTCATTTGAACAAGTACGTCTCCCGGTATTGCTTTAGTTTCTCAGCGCATTCTTCAAGATAGCTCTTGGTTATCCGTCTTAAATTCCTGGCATTCGGTCGCAGCTTCTGAGTACGTAGGCTTTTGCAATAAACAGCCGGGAATTGGTTCATGTTTGGACACCTTCTCAAATTCTCCGTTCGCACGCATAGTTTGGCAATTTTGCATTTCAACTTAACCAGCCCTTCTAGATGCTTCACTCTGCATCTCGTGAGATGGTGTTTGAAATAATTGAAACAACTCTTTCCGGACGAAATCTTCCGTAAAAACGTTATCTTATTCCTTCAACTCACATGGAAGCGTGGAGCGTCACTGTTAGTCTGTCAACAAGTCCATATTCAACCAAGCGGACAGTCCACTTCATCGGCTTCTGTTTGGAGCTCTCTATTCTCCCTCAGAGTGGCATGCATCGACCTGCCCACTTTGTTGCAGCTTGGCCAACACGCAGCACTTATCCGAACACCAGAGACCCTGTCGACCGTTCTCTTATGTTTCTCTGAATACTGTATTGTGGGATCGTGTGAAAATTTAAATCTGTATAACTCCATCGGATTATGATCAAAAATGTCCTAACGGTGTCTGCCACGTATTGGTACTCTAATCGTTCTTTCATTTTGTGTGACATCTAAAATATCTAACTTACAGGACCACTGCGCTCATAAATGTTAGATGTTATTGTCAGTATGCACTTGTTCTCATCTGTAACATTCGAGCTCTTTGATTACCTTGTGATCTCCACATGTGACACTGACCACATTTTCTCTATGCGTTTGTCCGGTGATGACACAGCTTCATATGTAAGTCAATCTGGTATGGGCATTGCTCTAAGTCCAAGAGCTGATGCTGCCGTGGTCGATCGGCTCCCAGTGAACAGCCGGATGTGCGCCTTTGAGCTTGGCTGACTCGATTCACCTTGAAGTAGACCTCGGCCATTCCGATCACAAGGAGGTGGTATGATGTTAGTCCTTCCGACATTGACACCCCATGACCGGTTTTGTCCTGGTTTGGACTCATCAGGCTATCTCTATCAGACGAGTCCAAAGCAGCACGAGACCGCTTATGGAGTGTCCGTGTTGGAAGGCATAATTTCTTGTTTTGCTTTGTGTCATTTTCTTTTTTATTATGTCCTGATTGAATTGTATTACAGCACAATCGCCTGGTTGTTTTACGCCCTTAGCTAATTTGCAGAGTGCAAGGCAGTACATCAACAGTACGCCGGTGCGCAGTACCGATGCTTCGCTGCCGCGCAACCATCATTAGTCACACGTGGGGTGAGTACCGTGTGATGGTCGCCCGCTGCCCTTCGTAGACTCGAACCCGGGTCGTCAGATTACAGTACAGGCGTGTGATCGTTAAGGTTACGGGCCGGCAATGTGTAGAATAAATGATTCCAAAGTTACTGCTCTTTTTGGTTTTTGACTTTATTGTACCCTTTGATTTGTTTGAAGAGGGATTCATTGTATTGCGTGGACAGGATACTGTCAGGTTGCCCAAGCCTAGACAGGAGAACGATTAGGGTTCTCAACCAAAGCTTTTGGTTCAAAAACTTTTCCGTAAGGCAGTGGGTTTGGCATTGGACTACAAGGAGTCCGTTTAAAGGAATAAGGTGCCACCCTCATTCCAACTCCCAACCTGGAGGACCAGGAGGCTGAGCTTGTCTGGCCTCTAACCATTTACCAATCTGGTATGAGTGACTCTGAAGATGCAAAAACACCACCCAGCATAGCTCAATGGATCACTGAGGCACACAAACCATCACACCACGGTAAGGTCCAGCCTCATTGCGATTGGAAGAAGAGGAGGGGTGGCCAAGCGATGACTTGGTCCAGAGGAATGAAGGCCCTCACTTCGGAACTGGCCTCGGTTGTATCGTCACGGCTCCCTGGTTGGGGTCCAAAAGATGATGAACACGTTTGTCTAGATACACTTGCTGACATGGCAAGGAGCCGACCTCAGTGGCGTTCTTGCTGCGAGTTTCTTTATCCCTTCCCATCCCTTTTAGCCCCCCCTCCAACCACGATCTCCTTTTGTAGGGTAATATAATTTTACATAATAATTTTTCTTTTTGCCTAATAGCCGGCCGATAGCTTACCGGAACGGTGCCTGTCCGTTGCTGGTAGCTCAACATGCAACTGTTGTATTTATTTTCCTTTTCCTTTATGTATTGCGACACATTAGCTTAGGTGTTTCCCACCTCTAGCTGACGTGTATAACGATGATGTACCGCTTTGATTCTGTGCTATTCGACAATGAAATCCCCTTCAATACACTCTGTTCTTTGCTTTATTATCTTAATTTGTCGTTTCTGTCAGTCTTTCTCGGCGCATTGTTATACTTCAAACAGATTACTATATCTTACTTTGTTTTCCCCACCTCTGCCTTCTCCTGAATTGTGGATTCGTTCCACCCACACAGACACAGAGTGCTGTTCTTAGCTTTGAGCCATTGTGTAATTCCACCCGCCCTCCCCCATGACAAAGCATCACGTTACCAAGTTCGATCGCTGAACTTGTTTCTTTTTGTTTATTTCTACCGCATAACTTTGAGAAGCGTTTAAAAGTTTGTCACACTATTTCTGACTACACTCTCCTTGGTCACCCTTCGTTCCTCGTTCCAATCTCCTCCAATCACCATTATTTTTTGTTACCCCACACGTCACTCTTTCAGTTTGTTTACCCATCTCCATCCGGTGCTTTTTATTTTCTCTCTCTCTCTCTCTCATCGTTTCGAGTTTGAGGCCATTCGAAAGACAACATCCGGTTGGTTACGTTGCTTTTTCGTATCCATCTCTATACGAACATTGATTACTGTTCAATGTAAATGCAATTCATTACCATAGCCAAACCGCGGTGGTTGCCATAAGCGCGCTCGTTTCTAGGGGCAACAGCACACAACGCAACTGTAGGAGCGTTTTGTCAGTTATCGGTCCACTGCGTATGATTTGCTTACCCTACACCGACTGTAATGGCGCGCAGAATTACTTGTGCACGCAGAATGACACTCTCCAATCTTGTTCTCCTACAATCTCCCCTCATTGGTCTATTTTTACAGCGATTGTTGCTATCACATAAACGTAGCGTGTACCTTTTTCTGAGGCATTCTCTTCAATCAGACTTGTCCACTTCACGTACACATAGTTCTCCTCTTTCCCCATTTTCGACCAGCTTGGAGCTGTATCCAGCCTTCTCTACGCTATGGGTAATCTGGAATATCCGGACAGCCAACGTCAGGCAAGCCTTGCTCTGGAAGTGAGACTGTGTTTCTACTGAACGTTGGATTTTTTTCAATGCACCGCTTCAAACGCGAGCGATCATTTTCATTTCTCAATCTGTTCTGTACCTTGACTGGTTGTTCCGTATTCCCTCTCCGTTCACATTTCATTTCTTACCGTCACCAGGAGACGGTTCTACGGATGGTCCTAGTACTTTACTTGAAGTGCTGGCTATGCCTACATTTATTCCTACGCTCCATTTCCCACATTTTCATTACTATTAAATAATTGAACACCGCAAAACTTCTCTAAGACCTACTTTTTAAAATTCAACTACCATTCGTGTAGTTGTACATACTGATCAGACAACATGGTTTGCCTGTATCTCGCACCGTCGAGAGATGTACAATTTTTATTTACTTATTTGACAACTTTTCGTGATATACAATTCACCTGGCGCTATTCTGTCGCGCTTTTGCGTAGCATTCATCCAATGCACACTCACCGTCTACTCTTTCTTTCTCTCGCTGTCTCTCTCTCACGCTTTGCAGTTTCTTTGCCACGCGTTTCCTTCGGTCGACCAAGTGGTCCGTGAAGCAATGGGTCCGAGTTTGTACAGCGATTTTATTGTGAGTAACTGAAATTCCCTCCCAACTTTTTGCCTTATCAGTGTGTATGAACTGACATTTGACTGCTAACGTTTGACACCTGCGGTGAAGTTTCATATCTACGCTATCGATTCGGTGCGCTACAACGAAAACGGGGACTACGTTCTTTCCATCGTGTGCAAACTTATCCTATCTGTTGATAGTCTCATTGTTTTTAGTCCCGAATTGATTTATTCGGGCACCGTGGAGCAAGGTAGAAACTACACACAGCACAGATCCGTGACATCATACTTACCTGGTGTAAGCTTGTTCATTTAAGAGTGTTCGATTCTTTCATTTTTATTGTACGCTGGTTATTTTTCTCTGTTATTTCTTTATTTTTGGCTAACCGTATCTATGGCGCTCTGTTATACGTAGCTACACTCGAGTTGCTGCACTGCGACGCTCTGACCCAAACACTTCTTTTGTGTCCCACTGTATGTTATCAAGGTTTCCCTGTCGCTCGAAAAGGCGGAACTTTGATCCACAAGAGACTTACCCTCAGGCATGCCTCAGTAATTTTTCCATACCTGGACAAGTCTTAACAGTTACGTGCTCCGACTGACCGCTATGTAGGTCTTTCCTCAACTCTTTCTCAAACATCCTCTGCGACTTCTTGTCGAGTGCCAATTCAACGACTTGTTCAATCTAGAGATTTATCTCCGTTTTTCAATGGACACGGTTTTTCACTGCCTTGTGGTGCAATCCCAAGCATTTCTGTGCTCATGTGTGATACGTGCGCAGAAATGGGCGGACTCGCTTACCCTGGTTAAATGTGCCATGTTAGATTATGTGATACATATCCGAAAAAAACTATATGGCCGTTCCATTTTATTGAAGTTCTACAACAGTTTTGTGTCGTACATAGCTGCTGTTATAGGAATTCTGGGTTCTAGAGGCCAGCTTTGTCCCCCGCAAACTTCGTAATGGATGACAAGCCGCGATATGTCGCGGTTAGTTTGCAATCCATGACGGCTCGTTGCCATCACTAGTGGCCGGGTAGCATAGGCCGCTAGTGTTGTCCAGAGGCAATGAGCTCGGTTCCTGGTGAACTTGGGTGACGCGCAGTACTGCCGAGTCCCAATTGGACAATACATTCGGATAAGGCTTTCCGAATGGATTGTAGTCTATTTGACTTGGAATTTACTGTGATGAACTCTCAAGTGAAATTAAACTCGTCAAACGATATAGCTAGTGGTCAGATAGGGAACTATTTTACCTACTCCATGTGTCCGATCCGAATTCCTCGATTTAGGAAGACGTCACATACAGATCCTTATTGACTTTGCGATGTTTCTCCTTGCCCTACTTTGTCATGGTTTTAACCGGCTACTGCGGGGTTTCATTCAACCGGCGCCAAGGCATCTGGCTCGTAGACATGCGAATGAAGATATCAGCAGTATGCCGGTACGCAGCACCAATGTTTTGCTCCTGCTTAACCAACACCGGTCACACGTGGGCTAAGGATACTGCGAGGTTCAGTCCGTCCCGTCAGATTACAAGATAAGCTGGTTACCTTTCATCTACTGCCCGGCGACATGCGGATGACAGGATCTGGAGACCGTATGCGATCCGACTCCAACAAATACTCCGATGCGGCGCTTGAGGGCGTATTGCTAACCCAGTGCCCGCATGAGATGTGGGCACTACCGTTCGGGGAACACCAATGATCAAATTCGACCAGCTTGTTATCTTCACCTCGCAGTGAGCCCGTTTCTATTCTGTTCAGTAGCATTGATCACACTGCATCCTCACTTATTACCAGTAAGCTCATATGTCTCTCCCTGCGTAATTGAGTGACACTAGAAGTAATCTCAACAGTCTAGCAACTAGAAACAGAGCCAACATAAAACCATGGAGATCAGCGGATAAGGAACCGTCATCGCGTCATAATCATCGTGGCATGGTAGTTGGAGGTGAGCAACGCACTTCAGCTAATATGCTGCAAGAAGAAAGGAACATTTTGACAAAAAGTAAAACAAAACATTTTTAGTTTGTTTTTCACACGCCGCTTTTTCTCTTTTTTGTCATTTTCAATGTTTGAAGTATTAAACATGTGAATCAATACAATACTGTACACAATTCTTCCACTGATTCCGGTTGCGGACCATGTCTTCAAGAGTGTTAAGCCATTGGCACTCCTCATCTTTGGGTTCCCATCCTGGAAGACGTTTAGATCCAACAGCGGCTAGACACGACGTCAGCGATTTCATGTGCTGCCGCCATGCAGGAGACTGACCAACGTGCGGTCGACTCCAGCCAGGTCCTTGAAGAGCGAATAGAGCACGACGCGGGAGACGCTCAGGTGCCATGCGTAGGACGTGACCGATCCATCTCAACTGTTTGTTGAAGGGAATACTCGCATTCCCCAAGATGCGACGTCGAACGTCATTATTGTTAACTCGATATTGCCACCAAGTACGACCAATCCTCCTTAAGCAACCGTTATCGAGGCAGAAAGACGACGCATGTCTTTCATGCGAATAGGCTAGGACTCGCTCCTATACGGCAATACTGAGCGAACTGATGCGCTGTAAACGCGGCCCTTTAGCGAGAATGAGACGTCACGAAGACGCCACAAGTGCCTCAGATTGACAAATGCTGATCAAGCTTTAGCGATGTGAAGAAAAACTTCTTTGTTGATAGTGCCGTCAGCAGAAACACAGCTCCCAAGGTAGACGAAACTGTCTACCTGTTCAAGTTGTGCACCTTCGAGAGTGAGTACGGGAGCAGGTGAAAGTCAATCATTGAGCAGTACTTTACACTTCGATGGGGGCGAAGCTCACACCATACTTAGATGATTCAACCGCCAAAGGATCCAGCATGGGTTGTATCCCCTGAGGATCGTCACCAAGTAGGGCGATATTGTCAGCATAGTCTAAGTCTGTCGTGCGCTCACCCGGTAGAAGCTTTAAGCCAAAATGTTGGAAACCTTCTAGAGGATTCGCCAGAACCTCTTCGATTGCGAAATTGAAGAGGAATAGTGACATAGGGCAGCCCTGTCGCACACCGCTATTGACAGCGAATTGCGATGAAAGCTTGCCATAGACCCTCACACTGCCGGATGTGTGAAGGTAAAGTGCTCGTAAGATGGCAGCATATTTCTTTGGCACCTCGTGATTGAGTGAACATTTGGGTAGGTACACGAACCTTGCTGATGGGTGCAGCAACCTCTTCGGTGTCACGACCATCAGAGACGATATGTGTAGTCAGATAAATAGGCCCATCAGCCATTTTGGTTGCTTGTTTGATGATTGGGCTGATGGTGGGTCGATCCAACCTTCTGCGTTCTGAGGGTCCAGTGCACACGCACACTTTAAGCACCATGTACACAATTGAACGCGTTCTATGATCGTTCTGCCCTAGTCGGGTTCGTCGGACTGCGTCGTTTGTGATCTCGATTTCAATGTTCTGTTTCCACTGCATTTACAACTGCACTACTGAGAACTCCACTCACTTTCGGGAAATTTCAATGTGACTCCTCGAATATGGGTTCAGTCGCCAAGTCCATCAAAGTGCCAGGGATTGGATGTCTCTCCGACGCGGTATCGAAGCCACGACCTTGGTGTTGCAAGTGTCTTCATGCCAGTAGGATACTGCTGACATCAACGACCCGGTTGATCGCCATGAACGATGTGGGCTTCTCGAACACCCTCATGTCTCGCCAACTTCATTTCGGCTAGCCCCTGGTCGACGTCTAGATCTAGTGGGGTTATCTGCTGCTATTATTGTATTCGCGTAGGTTGGACATACATGCTCAACTTAGAACGACACGCAGCCGATATCGCTTTTTTCTTAGTCTGACCAGTTTGCAATATGGTAGGCGGCATCCGGTTTCGGATTTGCCTGTCACTGTGGCCAGCCACAGGACGCCTGCGCCTACAGAGGGACCATGGGTGGCTTGCGCTGCACCACCCACAGCTTCAACCACATGCCCCATATCCAGTGTAAATCCGAAGGAATAAGACCGGGAGGCATGTGGATGAGAGCCACATTTCATCAACGGAGCCAGCCCACAATCCTTCACAGACAAACACAAGCACGCTGTATTTGGGGAATCAAGTGCACACAAGGCGGTGGCTGCACTGTAGTCCGCTCCACACTGAATGCATGGAACCGCTCTCCGAGCCTAGCACGGTCACAAGGACCGTACACCCCGTCCCATCCAGCAACGACCAACTGTCTCCTAAAGCCAGTATGAACGAGGTAGTGGGTAATAGACAGGTAGGCACCTTGTCAACATGCACATCAAGCGCAGCCACACCTGGGATGTCAAACAACAGCCAATCACTTCAAATCACATTATCAAATAAAATATATCTGTTAAAGAATACGGCTATGCAGACATAACTCTACCCTAAATTAGCATATGAAGTAAGTTGGTTAGCAACGAATAAGCGATAAGTACAAAATGTCCACAAATTACACGGGATATGCTACAAAACGCAATAAAGTTAACGAAGATAACCACAATTAGCGTAAGTAACGTGTGCAAATATCATAGAAGATTATTCAGGTAGGCAGAACAAACCAAATAAAGTGGAAGGAAATTTATTCAGCTTAAAAAGACCTAGTTTAAGAGCAAATGTATTTAGCCCAACTGCGTTGAAGAAGCATCATAAATGCATCATCAGCCTCAGCATAGGGCACAATATAATGAACACATAACTGGTATACTTCTCGACAATGCGAGACAATCCAACTCAGTTGTCTGATTCATGATTGTCATTTGTTTTAGTGAACGCAAGCAAAATTACAAATCGTGTATCACTCCAGTTTTTGTTTTATCGTTAGTGTTTAGCCTTGACAAGATTCGATGTGTGTGTGTGTTTGCATGTCACTGCGATCTATCGACTCGTGCTGCTGGAGCATAGGAGAATGAGAGTGCCACTCGTCGTGATAAACAACCGAGTGCTGTCTGCAATAAATCGGAATCACCTGTAGCTCGGGTGCTCTGTTCAGATTTTGTTCTGTTCTCCAAGCTGAACAGTTTCGTTGCAAACGTTTCATCATCAATCGTGGTGACTTCTTCAGTGTGTAATAAGCAAACTGAGTTGTTTTATCGACTCGTACTGACGAGCGAGTGACATTTGAACTTGCGCTGGATGTTAATGACAAATGAACGTGATGAATAAGTCAAAAAGTATTACGCTACCTTGACATGCAAGAGAATAAAATGTTGACTTTCGAACACGTAGAAGAGAGAGAGAGCGTTTTTGTATGTTCACTGTGAGGCGGATGAAATCAATCAGTCAGTATCT